TTGTTTTCATGAATATTGAGCATTTAGGTCACAGAATAGTCACCACCCAAAATACATGTTTCCGTTAATGAGATATTGGGAATGCACATGTTCAGAATAAGTTTTTTTGTGGCAAGAAAATAGTATATGCAGGAGACAACTTTCTGCAGTAAGATGCACCATGGCCAGGGACTTGTCTTCATCCAGGGTTGGGTTACAGCATCAGATCATCTAGGGTCATCATTGCCATGCAGAACTTTCCACAAGACTTCATGTTTAGTATGGAAACCTTTTAGGGCCATGTTTTTTGTTTTTTTCCTTGAAATTTCAACTTATTATCTTATAAATTCAACTAATGGATCTTGAAATTTCAACTTCGCATCTTGAAATTTCAACATCAATTATAATAAAATAATTAAAAAATCAAATGGCCCTAAAAGGCTGCCATAGTTTATAACACAGCTTTCATAAATCTGTTACAGCCAATTTTTCACATTTCTGACATGGTCAGAGCCAACTTAGGGAATGGTCATTATTACAGAGGAGGGTGGTCCAGAGGATTCTGATGCATTAAAGCACTGAAAATAATGACCCTTCCCTAATACTCGTCATATTTTTGGATGACCTCCCAATAGCCTTGTAAATGTTTTCATGACCCTCCGTGAAAATAAAATATGCAAAAGAACTTTATATTTTATCATAAAATGTGCATTTCTACACGACCCTCCCCAACAAGGTGTATTATTTCTGATCCTCCCCTAGAGATTAAGGTCTAAATGACCAGTCCTTTATATCGTCACAATTACGGACTTGGATATATCCCACTTTTCCCTACTTCTGACCTTGCTACAGTTTTGTTACATGTGACGTCATTGTATCTTCTCCTATCTGTATGATGTATGTATGATCATTTAACCCAACCATGATGTTAACCCTGTTGAAGGTCTCCCAAAGCATGTACGAAAAGATTAGCAAAAACCCCTTCCATGAAGCAGATGTATTGTCAAATGCATCAGTTAAGCAAAAATAACATTAAAAAAAAGTCATCTTACAAAGTGTACATCACACATTGAAATAAATGTGTAAGAGCAGAACCACCTGACTTCAAAATAATTTTGGACGGGAATAAAACAATCACAAATTGCTTAAGAAGATGTAAAAAAGCTCGAATATATGAAAAACTGCAAAAAGGACGGTTAAATTCACATATTAAAACCTGGACGGAATTCATAAAAGTGTTTTACATTTACAGAAACATTAAAAAAGTAAAATACTTTCATTCAGCTTTTTAATTGAAATTAAAAACTGCCGTCAGCCATGATTGAGACGACACCTGACCTTAAACCTGATAATATTTTGATTGAGTTATCATCACATATAATCAGTATTGCCTACTTTTATACTTATCATGCTTACATATCACATGCATCTCATCACATATATATGCTCATTATATTCACATCAAAGAGCACTTAAAGTTTAAAAATATTTCCATATATTCAGCATATGAAAATGTCATATAAAAATTCAATATAAGAAAAATAATGATATTCATATTTACAGATAAATACACAATAATCACTAACAACCTTTTGAGAGGATCCCTCGTGCACTCATGTCTATCAGTGTATGAGTGAGTGAGTGAGGTGGGTTTAAAGCCGCTTTGAATAGTATACCTGTTACATCACAGTGTGTCAGCTTGATGTTGAAGGAAAGACCGAAGCAAATGAGGCCTAAGCCGTTTACCAATTTGGTAAAACCCATTTGCCTTCAACTCTTCTCACAAGAACTCCTGATAACTCTTACTGGTACTCCAGTTACAATACTCTTTGTAAGATCATGTGGCAGCCGACCTGTGAAGATCCGGGGTACGATAGGTCTTCAACAACCCATGCTTGCCATAAGGCCACTATGCTTGTCGTAAAAGGCGACTATGCTTGTCCTAAGAGGCGACTAATGGGATCAGGTGGTCAGGCTCGCTGACTTGGTTGATGTATGTCATCGATCCCAATAGCATGGATTGATGCTCATGATGTCAATCATTGGATTGTGAGGTCCAGACTCGATAATATACAGATCGTCGTCATATAGCTTGAATATTGCTGAGTGCGGCATTAAACATACAAACAAACAAACAAACAAACAAACACTGATGCGGGAGAAAAGCCCAAAGTGATGCAGGTCACAGATGTTACAGCTTTGGTGAAACCCACGAGCACGGGAATGGTGCTGACAAACCAAGGATCATATTCAATCCGAATCTGGGATTCGAACCAATGATTACAGGATCCTGGCACACCAAAGGGACACAACTCTGCACAGGGTCATTATCAGGACCGACCTGGATATAAACCCAAACTGTCTTCAGTTAAGCTGATCATGTTAAATGAAGCATATATATCTACAATGATCACACTAGTATACCCCCGGACCATCACATAAAACTCTTTATATACAGCAGAAAACTTAACAAGCAAATACCGGAACAAACAAAGCCTACTTCTAGCGCTGCTGGAGATTTTATGAGTGCTTCAAGCTAATACTGATTTCGAACAAGGAAATCACAGTCATAATTATGTTGATTATTATGCATGTTACTACCCTATAAATAACCAACATGGTGGAACAGTCATTAATTATATAACATTATTGTAAAAAGAAAATATTGAGATTTCACAAACATGTAACAACTGTTAGTATAATTTTTTGGGCAATAAATATTTCAAGGTTATCATAAGAGTGTTTCAAAGTAATAAAGTATGATTTAAAAAAAATGAGGTTTCCAAAAATGACAAGAAATTGATTAGAGATCTAGTGGGATTAAGAAGAGCCATTTCCCTCTTAGTCGCCCGTTGGGATTCTGGGTAAGAATATACCCCCCCCCCCATATGCTGGTTGCACAAGGCGACTAACGGGATCGGGTGGTCAGACTCGCCGACATGGCTGATGCATGTCATCATATCCCAACTGCGTGGATTGATGCTCATGATGTCAATCACAGGATTGTCCGTTCCAGATTCTGTTATTTACAGACCACCATCACATAGCTTGAATATTGAGTGTGGCTCTACAAAAATAATTAAAAATCTAAGAATTATTAAAAAAAATAATGAACCTCTTTGTAAGTTTCAGTCAACAGTATATGAACTAACACCACTACACAACCCATTTCCACACACACATAGTGTATATAGTTACTAGCAGTTCAGTTCAACCTTGTTGCCTGTGTACATCATGCATATATACAGCAAGTTCAAACTTCAAACAACTTGTTACAAAATAACATCTACAGTAAAGTCATTATAGAAAATAGGGCTGGCACGAGTCCAAATTTACTACCCGGGTACCCTCCACTTTATTACCCGACCCTACCCGGGTACCGGCTGTAGATATTTAGAGATAGGTACAAACTGTCCGATTTGGAAAAGTTTGACCGTAGCCATGGCAAAATGTATTTAGATACACGTGTAAAACAATCTGGTCATGCATACACTGAAGTTTACTGCATGAAGTTTTATCTTTATTCAAACATATAAAAGTCTGAAGGGATGGGTGGATTATCAGAAAGAAATGGGAACATTAGTGACTTATAGTGTAACCACAGAGTTTTTGTCATTAAAGAATATATCACATGACTAACCACGGGTCCGGGTAGTCCTGTGTACCCGGGTCCTACTCAGGAGCAACCCGACCCGAGTACCCGAGTTACCCGTCCCAGCCTTAATAGAAAACTAAACACACGTTAAAAGCGAGGACAAATATTTTCTCAAAACTCACCTGCATCTAAACAAGCAGGGAAGGTGTAGTTTGAGTGAGTGAGTGAGTGAGTGAGTGAGTGAGTGAGTGAGTGAGTGAGTTTTGTTTAACGCCGCTTTTAACAGTATTCCAGTTATATCACAGCGTGTCAGCTTGATGTGGGAGGAAATCCCGAAGTGATGCAGGTCTCAGACCTTTACCACTTCAGTGAAACCCACGAGCACGGGTATGGTGCTGACAAACCTAGAAACATAATCGGGGCGAACCGGGATTCAAACCCACAATCATAGGTTTCTGGCGTACCCAAGGGACGCAACTCTGCACAGCGAATCGTGATGCCTTAGACGACTGGGCCACCCGTGCCCCCTGGTGTAGTTTGAACTTCCAACTCACCTAAAAATACTTTCCCATTAGGTTATTGCTTATTTTCCCCAAATTAGTGAACATTTCAAGATCATAAAAAAAATGAAATAATGTTTTAGATGCATATAACTGATCTAAATATTTCGGCTTGAGTTGGGAAAGTAAATTAGCTCATAATTGTGTTTCGGAAATTAGCTCCTATGCACGCATGCTGACAAAGCTTCACTGGGTATTAACGCAAGCTGTTTTTATACATTTGAGTATTTCATTTAATGCATGTATTTCTGTACGCAAGTAAATTGAAAGTAATTCCGTTTCTGTAGCTCTGATATTGTAAATCATCATGCCCAGTAAGCTCTTATCTCAATATTTACATTTACAGTGACGTATGTTATCTCCTTGTTAGTTGACGATTTGGTGCACTTTTTGACCGCACGTTATACGAGTGCGCAGTTTTTCCTGAAACTTGTACCCAAGAGTGACTGAGTGGTTTTGCAACACATTTAGCAATATTCCAGCAATATCATGGCAGGAGACACCAGAAATGGGCTTCACACATTGTACCCATGTCGGGAATCGAACCCGGGTCCTCGGTGAACACTTTAACCGCTAGACTACCCACCGCCCCCGTACCCAAAAGGGGTGCACTTAACACTCCAGGAGCACATGAAACACATCAAAATTGTAAAACGGACATTTGCATCCATAATCTGAAAACAAGAAGGCACAGGACAGAGGACACAAGTACACAAGGATCAACGGACCCGTGAAGATTCCGGGGTAGAATAGGTCTTCAGCAATCCATGCTTGCCATAAAAGGTGACTATGCTTGTCGTAAAAGGCGACTGACGGGATCGGGTGGTCAGGCTCGCTGACTTGGTTGATGCATGTCATCGATTCCAATTGCGTGGATCGATGCTCATGATATCAATCACTGGATTGTCTGGTCCGGACTCGATTATTTACAGACCGCCGTCATATAGCTGGAATATTGCTGAGTGCGGCGTTAAACAACAAACCAACAAGGATCAACGTGTGAACAGTTGAAACTCTCCTCAATCACATCATTGCTTCGGCTTACACCGACCAAATGTTTGGGCTTACACTGACCAAATATCCTTCCAGGAACTGATATTAAAACATCATTATCCTTACATGCATTATTTCCAAACACCAAAATTGAGGGCGAAAATACCAAAAAATATAATCCCACCTTATTCGGAAACATTTCTCAATCAAGACTTCGCTTATCGTAGTATCACATTATTCACATCAGCATTTAAAACCATTTGTTGTACATAAAAAATAAAATTTCAATTGTTCAACAAAATACTGATAATTCATAAGAACTTTTGAATAAATATTCAAAATATATGATCAAAACATAGCCAGATCACACAATTATGCATTTTTGGCCGTGAAGAGGGCTTCGTAGGAAGGTGGCGCGGATGGTGTGTTTTGTTCACTTTGTATTGGCGGCAAAGTTTCATTTCTGCCAAGGTTGCTTCCAAGAGGAGGCAAAGATTTTGCATCAGCAGCCAGGGGTGGTAGATGTCCATTCTGAAATGAAACGAGGAAAGTGTAATAATTAATAAAGCATTTGTTGGGGAAAACAGAAGTATTACTATAACAAATCTCATTAAAATCAGATCTTAGTTCTCGCTGCCGCTTAACAAAGATCTGAGGTTATCCCATTACGGGTCACGTCAGACCGACCTTTCGCGAACTCTGACTGACCAATGGAATTACTGACAAGAAGTCGACATTAGCCAATCAGAAGGGAGCTTTCCTGGCTTTACGGCACTAATTTCAAATTGGCGACTACGCTTCGAAACATATTTTGACAAATTCTTGCTTAAAAATTTGAAACCTGAACAAAAGAACATTCTCGAATGGCTAATATATGTTCTAGATTGCATAGATTCAGTCGTTAAGCCCGTAACTATTGTTCGGAATACCCGGTTTTAAAGTTTTCAAGGCTGCATGATGAGAAATCACATTCCGAGTGTCACTTTCATGAACTGGTAAGCGACGCTCTGATTGGTCGGATGAAAGGTCGTTCTGCCATGGGATGTCCTCAGATCTTTGTTTAGCGGTAGCGACAACTAAGATCTGATTTTAAATGAGATTGTACTACAACGGAATATTTGTTCTTATTTTCCCATATAAGGAGATGAAACCTTTCACAGTAGAACAAGATAACCTGTAGATTTAACCATGCTAAATTGAATCTGGTACTGAGTGCACAGTTCTGCATTTTGTAACCTATAATTGTATTCATAATTATATAAATAATATCTGTGTATAAAATATTAGCTTCCAGTGATGCGACAGTCAAATCGTCTGTTTCAACCACAGCTGGGCCCCGTTCCTCAAAGCGATCTTAGCGCTACGATGATCGTAAGCCTATGTTAAAGAATGAGACTTATGATCACCTTAGCGCTAAGATCGCTTCGGGGAACAGGGCCCAGGTTCTTGTGATTTGATACCACTGATTGACCATAAGAATCAGAATTTCCAATATATATTAAGGTGAATGGGTGTATATGAAAACCTTTTTAGTTTTCTTAATGGTAATTTGTAAGATGAAAAAAAATACAAAAAATACAGATGGACAAAATTGTGATGCAATACTGACCCTCTTCTCTGTGTGAGTTTGTGACACAATGAAAAGTCCAGAGAAGTCTGGCGCCGTGCCATTGTAGGAGGACGTGGTTGCATAGGGGAATCCACCCCCCATATTGTCTGTGTCCCCCATTGCCACGCCCCCCTGTCCAGAGTCTGTCTCTCCCTCTTCCCCGGTCAAGATCCCAATCTGGAGGTAGACGATGGTTTGAGCACATTTAGATTTCCAGAAGCTTCAGAATCCAGAGAGAAAGGTTTACCATTTCCAATAATAATTAATTTTAGCTAAAATGGATAGAATTATCATTAAACATTTAGATTTTCAGAAGCTTCAGAATCCAGAGAGAAAAGTTTACCATTTCCAATAATAATTAATTTTAGCTAAAATGGATAGAATTATCATTAAACATTTAGATTTCCAGAAGCTTCAGAATCCAGAGAGAAAAGTTTACCATTTCCAATAATAATTAATTTTAGCTAAAATGGATAGAATTATCATTAAACATTTAGATTTCCAGAAGCTTCAGAATCCAGAGAGAAAAGTTTACCATTTCCAATGATAATTAATTTTAGCTAAAATGGATAGAATTATAATTAAACATTTAGATTTCCAGAAGCTTCAGAATCCAGAGAGAAAAGTTTACCATTCCCAATAATAATTAATTTGAGCTAAAATGGATAGAATTATCATTAAACATTTAGATTTCCAGAAGCTTCAGAATCCAGAGAGAAAAGTTTACCATTTCCAATAATAATTAATTTTAGCTAAAATGGATAGAATTATCATTAAACATTTAGATTTCCAGAAGCTTCAGAATCCAGAGAGAAAAGTTTACCATTTCCAATAATAATTAATTTTAGCTAAAATGGATAGAATTATCATTAAACCGCCCGCATGTTATCAGAAATGAGCGGGCCACTGTAACTTGATTATGCTCTCATATTGCTTGACGACGGGCCATTATCATTAGGTGACGTCATAGGGTAGGGAAAGTGATGTCACGTTCAATAGTGACGCCATCTGGTTTGTTTTATAACGTTTCCATATTTGTAAAAGTGGGTCAGTGACATTCTTGTTGATGGCAGTAAATGTTTCAAAACCGATATTGTTGTTTCTTTTTATTTGATAACAAATTCCATCCATTTTAGCTAAAATAACAGTAACGCTATTTTTCAGGGCATTATCATTTGCAGCAGCCCTCGGTCTTTTCAACTGCCCTCCTTCATCGGGCAGTTAATGGAAGACCTCGGGCTTGGGTTGTGAATAATAAAATCTGGACCAGTCAAACCAGTGAGTTAGTATGGTTTTACGACGCTTTTAGCAATACTCCAGCAATATCACGGCGGGGGACACCAGAAATGGGCATCACACATTGTACCCATGTCGGGAATCGAACCCGGGTCTTCAGCGTGACGAGCGAACGCTTTAACCACTGGGCTACCCAACTGCCCCCGCTGCTTTTAGAAATATTCTAGCAATACGATGGTAGGGTACACCAGAAATGGGCTTCACACAATGTACCCATGTGGGGAATCGAACCTAGGTCTTCGGCGTGATGAGCAAACGCTTTAACCACTAGGCTACCCCACCACCCCACATTTCATCAGTGATCATCCCACGAGACAGGAACCCAGGTCATCGGCTTGACAAGCAAACGCTTTAACCATTAGGCTACCCCACCACTCCACATTTCATCAGTGATCATCCCACGAGACAGGAACCCAGGTCATCGGCGTGACAAGCAAACACTTTAACCACTAGGCTACCCCACCACCCCACATTTCATCAGAGATCATCCCACGAGACAGGAACCCAGGTCATCGGCGTGACAAGCAAACGCTTTAACCACTAGGCTACCCCACCGCCCCACATTTCATCAGTGATCATACCACGAGACAGGAACCCAGGAACTGTTTTGTTTTTGTTTGTTTAACGCCGCACTCAGCAATATGACGGCGGTCTGTAAATAATCGAGTCTGGACCAGTCAATCCCCTGATTAATATCATGAGCATCGATCCACGCAATTGGGATACGATGACATGCATCAACCAAGTCAGCGAGCCAGCAGTCCCGTTAGTCGCCTCTTACGGCAAGCATAGTCGCCTGATACGGCAAGCATGGGTTGCTGAAGACCTATTCTACCCCGGATCTTCACAGGGTCCCCGGGAACTGATACATTTTATACTTTACTACTCCTCACTTGCTAGGGTCATTTCAATCTTCCCATGATACACCGAACTAGTTCACATAATATGTCAGGTGTATTCTTAAGTAGAGTAAACTACGTATGTAACGAACACGCTCAGTGTTCCTGTTTACCGGTAATTACCAGTTTTTACCGGTAAAATTAGTCTTGGACCGGTAATTCATGTGACTGCCAGTCCCTGTGGACTGGCAAATAAAGTTTTTTATAAATCTGTGATATTCATATAAGTATTTATTTTGGAGCAAAGTCAGCTTGTCTGTTACCATCAGATTTTCCCCCCTTGTCGGGTTTTAGTGCAAGGAAATAACATTTGCTTCGAGGTTATAAGTATATTTGTAGTGACTTCGTCTTGAAATATTAAAAAAAAAGAGAATATTATGACTGAACTTTGTAAGAATGATGTGTAGATCTAACTAAGTATTCTTCAGAGATGACGTCATTGCATTGAACATGATGTTGAAAGAATTATAACAAGGTTTTTTTCATACGCTTTTATATTTGTTGAAGTTGTGACTGATAAAAGTTAGGGGGGACTGGTAGTTGTTAGAGTGGCCAGTCCACCAGGACTAGCAGTTTCAAAAGCCAGCGGGGACACTGCAGGCTTATAACAAACTTGCGAATATAATGAACCAGTTGTTTGGTCCCAGCCATTTACTGTATATATGCTGTATATATGTTTATAATGAGTCCAGGTGAAATTGGGTTTAACATTGCGTCCAAGATTATTACACTTATATAGCGACGTGCATGCACATGTGTGTGTGTGTGTGTGTGTGTCTGTGTGTGTGTCTGTGTCTGCTTGTACTAGTCCGGACTGATGCCGATTTATAGTGCTAGCTCACTAAGATACCATGCCGCAGTTTAACATGAATACCCCACTCAGACACAGTATACTGACTCCGAGCCGACCAGTCCTTGTTTTAGCCCCTTAATGCCGAGCGCCAGACAGGGTAACAACAAGTACCATCTTTTAACGTCTTTTGTATGACGCGGCCGGGGTTAGAACCCCGGACCTTCCGCTCTCCGGGCGGACGCTCTACCACTAGACCACGGAGGCAGTCTGTTTATAATGAACTAAAACTAGCGGTCCCTTCAAGTCTGTTATAACCGTAGTTTACTGTACATGTATATCTGACATGTTTCATTATCCCTATCTTACCTTGAGTAGTATACTTTAATCTGTTGCTTACCTGGGATGTTCTGATGTGGTAGGGGAAATTGGTATTGGCTGCCGAGGGACGAGTCAGTATCTGGAAACATGATTCATGTGTTGTGATTATCAAGTAATTAATATTAAAGCAATGAAATTGTTAAACTCAAATTTTCATCAACTGACATGTTTATCTCACTGAGACATCCATTTGATTTCTATGGGGTGGGGGAGGCTCTGGGGGTGGGGTTTGGGGGTGGAGGAAAAGATTTTTAAAATGAACACTTTGTTCTGAAATAGTTTGTTGACAGCGGTGAAAAAAAGGAAAACGAGAGTGCTCCCCCGCATGAATTTTTTTAATGAGTTTATATTTTCTTTGTATTTTATGAAATAACAACAGTAGATGGCACTGCATTTGAAACAAACTGTGCAGAACATTTTGTTGTGAGTAATCCAGTCTGAATGCTAATGCCATAAGGATGTAGCTCAGCCACAAAAGCTTTATACAAGGAAATCAACTCCTCCTACAGTTAAAATGTGCACATGTTTAATATATCCATATCACAGTCACGTTTCATTTCTTTTCATGTTGAGAGAGTTACTGCCCTTGGTTTATGAAGCTCTATTTGCACAACTGTGAGAGAGGGTACTGGTTTTGGGGAATATCCCTGACGCTCAAATGAAGCTCCGTAAAACAGGGGCAGTAACTCTGTCAAAATTTGTCAAAATTAAACGGGACTGCGATATGCGTTTCATCAACATGTCGACATCTTGTGTGTAGAGTGTCAGGGATATTCTCTAAAAGCTGGAGGAGGAGTTGATTTCACAAGCATAGTACCTCTCTCACAAATAGGCAAATGAAGCTCTGTAAAACAGGGGCAGTAACTCGAAATGAAACGGGACTGCGATATGCGTATCATCAACATGTTGACATGTCGACAGACAGACAGACAGACGGACAGACTGCGCCACTACATAATCCCCCTACGTCCATTCTGGCCCGGCGGGGGATAAAAAGGAAGAGTTTGTCTTCTTAAAACTACGTAAACATGAAAAACGTAAATCGATTGTTTGATGCTGCTCAGTAAATAAAAAGTCTCTTGGATACAGTTGGGAAAAAAGAAGACTGTTCTCCGAAAAAATCCCACCCATCCCAAACAAATCACATTGAGGCTCTCTAGGTTAATATTCAACAGGATGAAATAGAATCTATATTTGATGAGAAAGGCTAGAGTGAAATATGATTGTATTTTCAAATATAATATTTTCAAACTTAAAACATGGCATAAGAAGGACATTAACATGTTTTTCACTTTTCAAGGACAATCTACGTAAGATTACAACTGAATCATACCAAACTTAATTTTTCAGTCAACAAATTTATCATATTCCAGTATAAATCCATTAAGCTTATGCTGACTTTTCAGTACTTGCAGTAAGGACTCTACTAACGCAATGTCCTTTTAAAATGATCAGCCATCCTAAGTTCCAGAAATGTTTACTTTTATTTATTCTGGTCATTGTCTACTATTAACTATCAATGCCATGTTAAAACCCTATAAACAAGACATGTAGCCATGTGCAACCCTGTTCAAAAATGGATAAAAATAAAAAAACACAACATATAACATCATAATACTATTTTGAACATTTTCAACAAGTTGCTGTTAATATTTGCCCCAAAATGGACAAATTCATCAAAACACCAAAACTTGAATAACAAAATTCACTTAGTTGTACCACAATGTCAATGTGAGACGGAATCTTGACATGAAGTTACTGTACAATACTATCAATGGACTGCCTACCAAGAAGAAGAGATGGCCGACGAGCGACACAAACTGCTCGACACCGTTCACCGTCTTTTCTCGAGTCCACTGTTTCATCACATGCATTGCGATGAGGATCACGATTGGTCCAGCCCAGAACCTGAAACAACCAATAGAATGTCAGCATCTCCGAACGGTATAATGAGGACGATGATTGGCCAAGCTGATGATCAGAAACAACTAATGGTTTGTTTGTCTGTTTGTTGTTTAACGCCGCACTCAACAATAATCCAGCTGTAAGACGATGGTCTGTAAATAATCGAATCTGGACCACACAATCCTGTGATTGATATCATGAACATCAACGCAATTAGGATACGATGACATGCATCAACTAAGTCAATGAGCCTGACCACCCGATCCCGTAAGTAGCTCTTACGACAAGCATAGTTGCCTTTAACAGCAAGCATGGGTTTCTGAAGACCTATTCTAACCCAGATCTTCACGGGGAGAGTAATATATAGAATGACCTCCTCAAAACTCAGAATTATGGAAATCTGTCCCTCAGCACTGAGTGCTGTAAGTCCCTCGCCAAGGACTTGGGATGAGTGAGTGAGGGAGTATGGTTTTAGGCCGCTTTTAGCAATAATCCAGCAATATCAGGGCGGGGGACACCAGAAATGGGCTTCACACATTGTACCCATGTCGGGAATCGAACCCGGGTCTTCGGCGTGACTAGCTAACGCTTTAACCACTAGGCTACCCGACCGCCCCGACTAGGGATTAACTCTGTTCTTTCACTCGGGAAAGATCATCCATAATTCCTCGCAGCTCGTGGTTATTCTGTTCATGTGTGGCGGCCATTGTGACCACTAAATCCACCTACAAGAGTCAAGGATTCTTATTCTCACCACAATGTGAAGAAAATGAAGAAAGGGTAGAAGAATGCCCCTTTGGCGGGATGGTTCTTCAGCGTGAAGAAAATGGAGTACAGGAACCAGACCCATCCAATCAGACGCATAGCAACCAGACCGTATCCAGGGGGGCTCTCATAGATGTACAGAACCAGTCCGGGGTCAAAGAACTGGAACAAGATGAGAACGGAATCTAGTGACATGAAATCATTTTGAAATATTATAATACTGCTACGCACTTTCTTCTTAATATACCTCTGTGTGAGGTGAGGTGAGGTGAGGTGAGGTGAGGTGAGGTGAGGTGAGGTGAGGTGAGGTGAGTGAGTGAGTGAGGTGAGTGAGGTGAGTGAGTGAGTGAGTGAGTGAGTGAGTGAGTGAGTGAGTGAGTGAGTATGGTTCACGCCGCTTCTAGCAATATTCCAGCAATATCACGGCGGGGGACACCAGAAATGGGCTTCACACATTGTACCCATGTCGGGAATCGAACCCGGGTCTTCGGCGTGACTAGCTAACGCTTTAACCACTAGGGTACCAGACCGCCACAGTAATAACTTTAATACAGAGCTTTGACCACGCTTCAGGGTGTGGATTTGCTGTATTATCAAATTGTTCATTATCATTATCACTTACTTCACAAAATACACAATATTAATTGTAATAAAATAATGTTGAAAATGTATGAGTACTGTGAAAAAGGAACCGTTGTGGGAACATGACGATATTGGTATAAAAAGGAACTGTTGTGGGAACATGACAATATTGGGATAAAAAGGAACCGTTGTGGGAACATGACAATATTGGGATAAAAAGGAACTGTTGTGGGAACATGACAATATTGGGAAAAAAAGGAACTGTTGCTGAGTGGTGTCATTCTTACAGCTGCATCTCTATATATTGATAAAGTCACATGTACTTTTTCAAAACAAAACATGTTGAGAAGACCTACGTTAGCTTCCCAAACCAGGAGAACGGAGTACACGACACCGTAGATGCAGACGAAGACGGTGAGCTTGATGGTTCCGGACGTGCTGAGTCTGCCGCGGGTGATGGTGAAGCCTTTGGCCATCAAGATCAGCATCAGCAGGTAGATGATGTCACTGGCCGACGAGAACACTCGCGCTGCAGAAACACGTAACATAGTGTTGGAGACAACAATGTATATTGCTATGTTAATTGTGTTTGAAACCATGATTTTTGTACCAAAATATTATTTTGTGGTGAAATGTAGACCTACAACTGATTGTAATAAACAGGAACATGTTGCCATAATGTCAAAATAGTGAAAATAGTAGAATGAACATATCTCAATTCCTGCCAGAACTTCTACCCCAACAAGACCTCCAAAACCAACTATACAACCTAGACAAAACACGCCACCAACAGACCTTCCACACCTACCAGACCTCCCAAACCCACTATACAACCCAGCCGGACAAGACACCCCACCATCAGACCTCAAACAACCATCAGACCTCTCAAACCCACTGCACCCACTGACTGAAACCATGTTAAGGTTGATGTATAGTTTCTCTATAATTTTGCCTAATGACCTATAGTTGAGTCAGTTTTGTTAAGGTTGATGTATAGTTTCTCTATAATTTTGCCTAATGACCTATAGTTGAGTCAGTTTTACTTGTTTCAAATGCACGTTCAGAATGACCAATTTGTTTGTTTGTTTGTTGTTTAAACAATATTCAGCAATATTCCAGCTATATGACAGCGGTCTGTAAATAATCGAGTCTGGACCAGACAATCCAGTGATTGACATCATGAGCATCGATCCACGCAATTGGGATACGATGACATGCATCAACCAAGTCAGCGAGCCTGACCACCCTATCCTGTTAGTCGCCTCTTACGACAAGCATAGTCGCCTTTTAAGACAAGCATAGTTTGCTGAAGACCTATTCTACCCCGGATCTTCACGGGCTCAGAATGACCAGTAAATTCCTGGCTCAGAATCAACTACAAGAACAACAGCATCATCATAATGGTTTAAACTGTAGAAAGTCGACCACTGACAAGTGGAACTTTAAGTGTAAACCCGAAAAAATAAATAAATAAAAAATCACAACAACAAAAATATTGATAAAAATAAAAATAAAAAATAAATCAGAAAAAAAAAAAAATAATTAGAAAAAAATAAACAAATAAATAATAAATCAGAAAAAAACACATCTATTTTGACAATTTCATTATTCAAACAGCCTTCCTTTTTCAATAAGGGCTTGCAGCGTAAACTATCTGCATCCAGTCTCAATTTGTATTCACCCAGAACACAATATTTTTGTAAAACAACTGTTACTGAAGCTCACCTGTCACCTTGGTGCCCCTCTCCTCCCGGCCGGTGTCGGAGTACTTCCCGTAAGCAATACACATGAGGAACACATGGAACGTCCACAGGGCCACCGCCACCATGTACATCTTGTAGGTGGTGTGAAACAGCTGACGGTTCCGCAGCACGACTGTCAACATAGTCAAAACAGGATTAGGATGCTATCAATTCCCTCTGAAAGAGGGTCTACGCTCCTAGCCACTTGAATAGAATCACACGATTATTAATTAAGTAACGAATGCTGCATGTGTTCTAATACTTATATTCAGGTTACCATGTAACTATGTAACATGCTCATAACGAACTTACGGATATAACGTTTAAAATCAACATGCTTATAACGAACTTACGAAAAAAAACAACTATTTCTCGGTCCCATTCATTTGCTGTATATATGCCGTACTAATGCTTATAAAGAACTCAGTAATAACAAACTAAACTTAGCGGTCCCTTGAGTTTGTTATAACCGCAGTTTACTGTTGTTCAAACAAGCAGATAGCTCGAGATTGTAAATAGAGTGACCTCCCTTTCCTGGAACGCAGCACAGGCAATGAAAATGTGGAACCTGCACAAATGAATGCTTTAACCACTATGCTACCCTACCGCCCCCACCCTGAAAGAAGGACTTGATCTGGCAAATTGGGCATTTATCATCATTACCTGGACTTATCATGATTAAATAAAACAAAACAAAAATGCATGGCTTACCCGCACACACAATGGAGACAAACAGTAGGCACATGTACGCCAGGAGGAATGCAATGTTGATTGGCAGAATATCTGGAACAGATCATCATCATCATCATCATCATAGTGATCATCATCATCATCATAGTGATCATCATCATCATCATAGTGATCATCATCATCATCATAGTGATCATCATCATCATCATAGTGATCATCATCATCATCATCATCATCATCCTCATAGTGATCATCATCATCGTTGATGATAAACATAATAATTAATCGCACAGGTAAAAACATGTTGCAACAATATAACATAAATTTGAAATCCACCATATTGTCTTTGTCTAGAAATAGACATCCACATATATAGCAATCCTCATGACGCTCAAGGGGATTGAACCCCCGACCATCCACTCTCCGGGCAGACACTTCATCCACTAAGCCACGGAGACGGTCTTTAGGTTTGGAAGACTGTTACAAGCAATAGGAACATCATGGCGACGACTACTTACAGAACTCATCAGCAGAAAACTCATACGTCAACTTGTCTTCAGGCTCTCCGTTCGTCATGTGCATGGAATACTCCAGTTTCATTCCCTCCACCTGCAACCCACAATGCATCTGTTACTGACAAGGGTCCTGATGGGGTCTATCAGTGTTTAAAATACCCGCCTGCCCGACTGTCCGAGACTGACAGAAGATCAGTTTTTAAACGTTACACACCCGATGGTTGGTAGTTACAGTGACAAAGTTGACAATCCACCAGTTTTTTACCTTCTAAGGACTAACATAAAACAGTACTATTCTTATGTTTACCCTTTTGTTACTGTTGTTTGTTAGTTGAGAACATTCTGGACTGGCAACATTTCATCTGGGCCCACTTGCACAAAGCGATCTTAGCGCTAAGACTATTGTAAGCCTATGTTGAAGTATGGGAGTTACGATCATCTTAGCGCTAAGACTATTGTAAGCCTATGTTGAAGTATGGGAGTTACGATCATCTTAGCGCTAAGACTATTGTAAGCCTATGTTGAAGTATGGGAGTTACGATCATCTTAGCGCTAAGACTATTGTAAGCCTATGTTGAAGTATGGGAGTTACGATCATCTTAGCGCTAAGATCGCTTTGTGCAAGTTGGCCCTAGTCTGGTCCGGTTGTCTGACTGAAATTTTGGGGAATCTAATACCCTGGGTATACTTTTTAGCAAAAAAAACTAAAAAAGACAACTATTGTAGTGTAGCGTGAGTGAAATATTTTATCGTAAATTAATGTAAAATGTCCATAACTTAATACTATATCATAATCATTTTAAAATATCATAAAAGTCGTATATAATGTATCTAATGACACAACAAAACCATTCTGTGTTCGTGTTTAGTCGAACCAGTAGTCCTCATTCACTCCAGTGAGGTGAGGTGAAATGGGGTTTAACATCGCGTCCTAGATTATTGGACTTATATAGTGATGTGTGAGTGTGAGTGTGAGTGTGAGTGTGTGTGTGTGTGTGTGTACTAGACTGGACTGATGCCGATTTCTAGTGCTAACCCAATGAGATACCATACTGCAGTTTAACATGAATACCCCAATTAAAGGTACACAAATTAAAATAAATGTAATTTTCACATAATATTCATGATTGTTGCTTTTAGCTCGTGTCAATCGAATCAGGAAAAACAAAACAATTTAAAAAAAAGTGATTTCTTAGACAAATTAGTGAAAGGAGGTATTGAGTAAGCTTGTCTCCTTTGTCTTCAGTGACTTTCTTGTCTTATAAACTGACGGGCAAAAGAAAGACCTGCTCCTGACTGAATGTGTCTTCAAATATTTTCAGCTCGCTAAAGCTTGATCAACTAGCAGTAACATGTGAGATATGCTGTTATTTCAAATCCACACTTGATGTTTTCACTGCAGCTTAAAACCAAACATCTGAAGAATGGTAAACCTGGTTTCTTTTTATTGTTTGTTTGTTGTTGAGCAATATTCTAACTATATAAAGTGACCAGTAAATAATCCAGTCTGGACCACACAATCCAGTGACTGATATAATGAGAAAACTATGAACCAAGTCATCGAAATATATCACAACTGTGTGTGTCAACAAAAAAGAAGCAGTTCCATTTTTCCAAATATTTTTTTTTTATATAAATTTGAATATTAATATTATTATCTCGGGACTGGCAATTTATTATAGGGAGGATACACTCCCACCTCCCACCCCATTCGCTGTGACCAGTTCCTGAATTCAATGTACATTTGGCGCTAAAGAAACCTATCAATTACGCAATAACTGCAAGATCTGAGTAATCAGTATCAGCGATTGAAATCTATTGATTTTGTATTCTCTGTCAACCAATCGATATCTTCTGTCAACATGTCAGCACAATAACACTACACTTGCACTCAAGACATCGACTGGCCAACTTGTCCAGGGCTGACTGTTCAGCTAGGATTGATGAGGTGCACAGTCTCAGAGGAATAAGCAGTAAAATTATCAATATTCTCTGGTAAAATTACCAAAATTCCAAAAAAATACAAAATTGCCAAAATTCCGGAAAAATACAAAATTACCAAAATTCGAGGTACAAAGATAACCATTTCCCAAAATTTTCAAAATGTTAATCTCTTGCATTTCTGGTTAGATGTAAACAAAGTTTATGTGGTAATTATACAACAATTTACAAATATTTATTTCAAATTTACTTTTATTGTAGGATTAATATTACCGTATTCGATGTAATAAGCGCCTAGGGCGCTCTCAAAATTAGAAATAGGGGGCTCTTATTAGAATGTTATTTTGGTGAAAAAAACAGAGTTGAACGATAAATTTTGTGGTTTATGCTGACAGTCTGAAATGTTTATGTACGACAGATATATTTTTCCAGAATTTAATTGCCCATAATTAAGGGTGCATATAACACACGAGTGTGTATTATATGCGAATAAATAAGTCTTGTGTACATTGATCAGTTGGAAGGGGTGCTAATTGGGATTGTTCACTAGCCAATATCTTAGCAAATGTCGCCGTGGGCGCTTATTAGAGCGGGGCGCTTATTAAGTCGAATACGGTATGTATGTTAGAATCGCATAGTAAATGTTTGGGCATCATTCGAGTCTTTTGATAGAAAAGGTTAGAAATAATTAAATTAGTGTACTGATTGATTAAAAGAAAGGCAAATTCCATGATTTTTCTGCAATTCTGTGATAAGTTCCATTTTCTGCAGAATTCAAATACTATATGTCCGAGGTCCATGCTACAATTGTGTATTATCGTGTATACTCATGTATTATAACTCCCACACAATGAAAACACATACTCAAGTTATCAAGCATCTGACATGCTGTGTTTTTGTGCTTAAGTCCATCTCGAAACACATCAAATGAGATTTGAACCCAAACGACAACACTGTTGTTTGATTACATCATGCAAATACACAAAACAACTTAATTTGATTCCTGAGGTCAGTTCACAAAATTTGAGGATGAATTTTTGAAGTGTCTCAATGTTTTTTGGACTTGGCACCTTTTAATAGTTCACTGGGGGGGAGTAGGGGATATTTTGTTTGCGAAATACTTTTTTGGTCAGTATGTCAAAACTTTCAGGAAATCTAGAATGTCCAGTGAACATTTTGTTTCAAGGTGAATTGTGTTTAAACAAACGGATTTGGGGAATAGAAATTCTAGTGCCGCAATTTAAACCAGCAATACTGAACATGATGTCTTGTGGAAAGGTCTGCATGGCATTGACAATGATGACCCTAGATGATCTGATACTGTAACCCAACCCTGGATGAAGACAAGTCCCTGGCCAAGGTGCATCTTGCTGCAGAAGGTGAGCTAGTAGTTGTCTCTTGTCATATACTATAAGTATCATATACTATTTTCTTGCCACAAAAAAACTTGTGTGTGCATTCTCAATCTCATCAACTGAAACATGTTTGATTGATTGATTGTTTGTTGTTTAACGCCGCACTCAGCAATATTCCAGCTTTTTGACGGCAGTCTGTAAATAATCGAGTCTGGATCACACAATCCCGTGATTGACATCATGAGCATTGATCCACGCAATAGGGATACGATGACATGCATCAACCAAGTCAGCAAGCCTGACCACCCGATCCTGTTAGTCACCTCTTACGACAAGCGTAGTGGCCTTTTACGGCAAGCTGGGTTGCTGAAGACCTATTGTACCCCAGATCTTCACGGGTATTGTAGGTATTTTGGTGTCTCATAATAACCTTGGGTGAGGTACTACATGTACTTCAAGTGAGACCTACTGAGTAGGACCTGCTTTGATGTTTTACACTTGGAATCATATTTACAGCCTTAAATATGCACCTAATGTTCATTTTTGACGGGTTAAAATTCACAATTGTTTAAACTTCCATGACATGAATTGAACGAGCAATGAAACATATCATGTTTAGTAAAACCCACTGTTTTCCCACTGAACCACTGCGGCAGGTGATGAAAGGGTGTTCAATCTAACATGTCATGACTTCAGTTGTGCGCATGCTGCACATGATCCTTCTCTCTCCCGGTGTCATTTAATTCGTTTTATACCCCAGCTATGTATATTTTCGGTCACAGCATGGAAACATATTAAGGATAACGGGGCAGTCTAGTGGTTAAAGTGTTTGCTTGTCACACCAAAATCCAAAGTTTGATTCCCCAGATATTGCTGGAATATTGCCTAAAGCAGCGTAAAACCATGGTTACTTATTCAAAACATGACAGTATTTGTTTCTCTTAAGGAAGTTCCTACAGTGTTTTGTTCTTTTGTTGTTTTAGTTCCCATTCACCAGTCATCAAAGAGATCAAATAAATGGAACAGCAATTTGAAACACGCTTATCCCAAGAAAGCATCATTGATTCCAAACACAAGGATTCTGATTCCTAAACAGAATAATCAGCATTGTTTGGAAATAATCAATGAAGATTTTATGCCAGGCGTCTCTGTCAACATGATGGGAGGAACTATCGACCAGTGATATATATTTGCCACGCCATCTATCTAGAAATTCATCATCTGCAGGTAAGCGAGGACAGATCTTTTGCCCACAAGACAATGTCGGTTGGCAAGATGGATTTGTCATGTAGCAACATTTGTTCATCGAGCACAGACATGGGTTTCCAGGAGTCGGAAGATGGAGGAGAAGCTTGATCCATTGATCTCTGGCTGTTTGTCCGACGTGGACCAGGTGACGTTTGTTTCAACAGGGTTTTCTTATAGCTCATTGACAATCTTTGGTTGTCATGGCAGAGACGCAACTTTGTGTCATGCAGTTCACAAGCGCGAAAGATAGAATTAAAGAAAGCCAGTAAAGAAGTGACACGTACAGACAGACAGACAGACAGACAGACAGATGAAGATGAACCCAATAGACTTTATAAAAAATTAAAATTTAAAATTGTCAACAACTATAAACAAATACAAATTTTGATTCTGCATAGCAATTTCTGTTCTGTACACAACTTACAGTGAAATGTCTGTTTATTTACATGACCAATTCCAGATGAACCACAGTTTCAAGGGGGCGGTCGGGTAGCCTAGTGGTTAAAGCGTTCGCTCGTCACGCCGTAGACCCGGGTTCGATTCCCGACAT